TTATATTTGAATAGTTTTTTTTTACTAGCTGGTAACCCTATCATATGTATGTATAACTTTTTGATGGAAGCCATCATTTTTCTCAATTTCATTTGACACGCGAAAAAAGAGGCTGCGAATAAAGTATCGCAATAAAAATAAATTTTCCCTGTATTTAATTATTTTTAAACAATTAAAAGTGGTCAGGGAGACTCAGCAGTGGAAGTTTGATTGCTTATACATATTTGAAGCGCTAAATCAAATTGAGGTAAGCAATAATGAAAAGAAAAACTTTTTATAAACTCATGGATAAAGAAAAAAAGGAGTTTGAGCGTAGCTCCTTGATCTACTCAAAAATTTCCAAATTTGCCGAGGCAGATTTGGATGAAGGCAGCGTGCAAGTTGCAGAAGAACCTCACAGCAGTTTTGAGAGTTCTTCTTGCAAGGATGATAGTTTAGTTTTCACATCAACTCCGGAAAGTCTGTCCGATTCTTCTTCCTCTGAACCTTCCAGTATCGATAAATCCAGTGAAATAAAATTGTGGGCAATTAAAAATAATGTGTCACAAGTGGCGCTGAGTGATCTTCTGCGTACACTTAGAAAAATCGGTGTTTGTGACTTGCCTTTATCGGCAAAAGCACTTCTCGAAACCACTAAAAAATGTAAAGATATCCGAATGATTCCGGGCGGCGAATTTTTGTATTTAGGCATCCAGTCATATTTCGAGTCGAAACCCTTTAAATTTTTAGAATCCTGTAATGAAGTTTTAATCGACGTAGGAGTTGATGGTTTAAAGCTATTTAAAAACTCAAACAAAGTATTGTGGCCTATTCTAGGTAGTATAGTTGGTTACTCAAACGAAAGTCCATTTTTAATTGCTTCCTTTTCAGGAAAACAAAAACCTTTAAGTATAAATGACTTCATGAACGATTTTTGTGAGGAAGTTATTCATTTAAAACAAAATGGCTTAAAGGTTATTTTGGTAAGCCTTGATAATTTGTTTTTGGGAAATGTATATACATACATGTGTACGAAATTTAATTTTTATCTTTTATAGATACTTTTATAATCAAAGGGCGAATCGATTTCGAAAGGGAAATAAAAAAATTCGTCGAACAGAGCCACAACCGATTTAAACAGAGGAGATATTTAGACAAAAAGCAACAAGGCAACAATTTCCAAATTAAACATTTAAGTATTACTAATTAATGTATAAGTATTTAAGAGTTTTATAAATATGTAAATCTTATAAATAAATATAAGTAAATCTTATAATAAAAAGTTTTATAAACATGTAAATCTTAATTATACTATATCCCAAATTTAAATAGAGTTTATTACATATGATATTGATATAAGTAATAAACAATAGTATTAGTAATATTAATGAAAACTTTAATATTTATAATAAATACATAAATAATATAATAATTACAAAAATTAAAAAAAATGCAAGGATAATATTAATAAAAAAATAGATGCACAACAATCTGTATAAAAATTATAACAACAAAGATAAAGTGAACCAATAAATGTATATAATAATAATGGTAAAATAACAATAGTAATAAATGTAACAAAATTGATAAAAAATATTAATAAAATTCATAGCTTTAACGAAAATAATAATATTGATAAAAATAATTATACATATTAATAAAAGTAATAGTATTGATCAAAATATTAAAAAACTGTTATATAAAAAAATATATTCATATATAACGGTAGAACGATTTACCGATGAATTCAGATACTACTTTATCACTGAAGTCAACCAGCATGAAATTACTGCCACTTTCAAAATTAATATATATAAATATATGTTATATATATGCATATATATATGTACGTACATATATAAAAAAATAATGGTAAAAAATTATAATATAACAAAACTAGTAATAATGATAAAAATAATAATGAAATATGAAAAAATTAATAAGTTATATTAATAAATATACAATAGTAATAAAAAATAATTAAATGCATTTAGTAATAAAAATAATATTAATAAATGTTATTAAGTTTTATAAGATTAATATAAACAAAAATCATAGCACTAACGAAAATAACAATGATTAAAATAATATTAAAAAATGCTTGTATAAAAAAAATATTTAATTATTACTTTAGTTCAATATCGGTTTGAAATTAATAAAAAAGGTTAATATTTACAATATATAAGAAAACAATATTTTTAAAATATATGTATGTACTTTACTGTTGTATCAAAATCAAAAATTAATTTTAATTTAATTTAAATAAACAATTTTTATACATAATTGAACTATTTTTATTTGTTCAGCAAGTAAAAAACGGGTGTCGCGAAGTTTTGGCATTGTACAGGTAAAACTGCGGCCCAACTACTAGTAAAATGGCTATCAAACTACAAGTAAAATGACGGTCGGTATGCCAGTAAAATGAAGGCCATTGTACTTGTAAAATTATAGTCATTAAAGTAGTAAAATCGTTTAAAAAAACTTTTGTCATTTGACTAGTAATAGCCAGAGTAGCTGTGACAGTGTAAGCAATGCAGATATACGTTTAGGTAAGCGCATAAGGTATGAGAAAGAGCGAGATGTAAAATCACACATATGGGAATATAAGAAAATAAACGGTCACAAAAGTACCCCGAGCCTTTGAAAGTGTGATGGGAAAAATACTGAAACTTTCAGTCATCGGTCCGGGCAATATTGCGAGTCATTTTACCAGTACACTTCTTGCAGGGAAGCAAAGTAAGCCTGCATTGGGCCAGCACATTT